ATGGATATATATATATATATATGTATATATATATATATATCCATATCCATATATATATCCATATATAAATATATCCATATATGGATATATGTATATGTATATATATATATATAAATATATAATGTGCGACTTAAATGTGAACACTTTCCAGCTGATGTTTGTGTGTTCAGGCTTTTTAAGGCCAATTTCAAACTAATAACAGTTTTTGTTATACAGTAACACAATGATCTTTAGTGTGATTTTGATATTTCTGTACTGCAACAAGTTGTGTTTTCAAACCAGGACTTCCAAAAATATATTCATTTTTCCATCATCAACACATTGAACGGTGATCAGCAAGTATTTAGTATTTTTCCTTGAATTACCTCCCAACAATATTGTAACGTGGGTGTTTCAAGCAAATTCTTTGCCAAATGATTTTCCTCCTCCCCAGACAGTAGCGTGTGCTGATGCAAGTCCAGCTGTATACACAAAGACTTGAAACTTCCTGTGACACACAACAGCATTGCTTGTTGCCAGATTATTGTACATGTGGTTTAGATTAAAACAAAATTCTGTTCTTTAAAACACAGTATTTAACAAATTTGAAATTTTGGGGCTGCAGCAAAATATTTATGGTCCTTGAAATAAAAGAAGCGAGTGGTTAAGTTTAGCTGTCATACTAAAACACAGTATTTGTAGTGAGAAGTATGGAGCTCAGTCATTACATAGACAAACAGATGGAGGCTTCAAAATCAAAGGCCTGATTGTTCATGAAGGTCCTCACGAGTGTGGAAATACAAATGCCTTCCAGGAGCGAGACGCCGCTCCTCATGATGGCATATTAAAAACATCTTTTCACTCAGATCAAACGTTTCCTCTCCGGCTCGTCAGAGAAGCAGTGAAGGCATCAGAACTGCAGTTTATGTATACAGTATAAAATTGTTGTGTATTTATATGGATGTCAAACTAAAAGATTTGTAATATGAAGTTTTAACATGTTTTTTGAGTTTGTAAAGGCGGAGCTGTGTCACGAGTTTTAAATGATACTAATGTAGTTTGTTACGATGGTTAACGTCCTGCAGTGTCGCTGCACCCTAACACCTCCCGTGTTCCTGATGTGCTGGATTTACTCATAGTATTTTTATATGTTGGAGAAGATGTCAGATGTCATCTGTAGGTCGTGTTAGAAATAAAGAAGTTTTTTAAAGGGTAAAACTTCATTTTGGGGGTGGGGATTCTGAGCACACTAGGGGAGCAGCTCATGTTTCAACTGACGGGGAGACGAGCTCTGCTTCTGTTCCATATTTATTTCAATAAAAAGCTGTTTATCCTTCGTTTGCTTTCCTTTCCATTTAACCTTTAAGCCCAGCGTGGCCGTCTTGTTGCTGTGACCTTTGACCTCAATGTGTCCAGGGGGTTGGCAGCTCATAGAGACAGAACCAGAGAGAAAGAGGTGAGGAGGCCAGTGAAGTTTGGGGGGGAGGATAGATGAACGAAGGATGGCTGGAGACAAGGGAGAGAGGGATGTCCCAGTGGGAGGAGGAAGTGGAGGTGGGGGAGTGTTTAATGAAACAGTGATTTATGCGTCCCTCCGTAACCATAAAACACAATATATACCCGCCATTGGCTTTGACTCTCCTCCCCCCAACATGCACCCATCCAGCTGGCTCTCTAGTGAAAGCTGCTGCATGTTTCCATCACCCCCACCTCCACCTCCTTTCATCCCCCTCTGTCTTTCAGGGTCTTTAAAGGAGGATAAATTCAGTCAGCAGCATCTCAACCCCCACTTCCAATGAGCCTCTGCATCTCCTCACCGACGGTCTGCTGCAGTCAGAGGTATAGAGAGAAACAGTCATCGATGCATTATTCTGTAGAAGAACTTTGAAAAGCAGAGGGACATTATTTCAACATAAAATTGGTTGATGGAGGCAGTT